CCTGCATCAAATGACTTCATCAGCCTTTCCCAATAGGCCAGACTCTGGAGACAAGATATCCTACACTCCAAGTCCTCCTCTCCACCTTCATGTTGTTCAATGCCTGTCCATGGTTTCCCCCACCTACAGGATAAGAACCAACTGCCTTATCGTGATATGTATAATTATTTAAAATCTGGCCCCAAATTCATTCCTAGAAACACGGGCTGTCCCAAACTACGGGTGGCATCAGCAGGGGTGAACATCATCATCATGATCAATACCCATAGGGCACTTACTATCCAAGACCCACTCCACTGAAATGTACACTTGAAGTAGGTGTCCCCATCCCATTCTACAAATAAACATAACATCCAAAGGAGTAAAAGTTAACGAGGGCCATGTTTTGGCTGGGATTCAAACCTAGGATTGTCTCAAAACTTTCTTCATGCCTTTTCTCCTGCTATCCCTTCCATCCTCTCCTACTCTGTATTCTGTAGAAGCATCACCTTCTCTTTTACAATACCCTCTGCATAAAATGTTCTCTTTATATACACGTGTATCTTCCCTACAGACTGTTAAGGTCTCTAAGGGCACAACTTTATTATGCCCATACATAACTTGTTCTGGAAAAGACTTTAGGGGAAGGCAGTCAACAATGTTTGGCTTCAGCTGCTTTTTTTTCAGGAATTGTAAACTCTACAGTCTATTTAATTTAATTCGCATAAAAGCCTTATATAACAGGTTTCATCCCAGTTTACAGATGAGGAATCACAAGTTCAAAAAGGAAAGGTGAGCCCTGGTCAGGTAGCTCAGTCGGTTAGAGCATAATATCAACACAAATTTTATTCCTCAACAAAGGTTGGGGGTTCAATGTCCAGTCAGGGCATATACAAAAAGCACCCAATGAATGTACACATAAGTAGAACAAATCGATGTCTATCTCTATCCTTAAAATCCATAAGTAAAAATAAAAATATTTTTTTTAAAAAAAAGGGCTATATGATGAATCAGCTATGTGACTTTGGACCAATGGGGCTGGATTTCAACCCAACTCTTCTGAGTTGAAAGGTCATTCTATCTCTATGTCCAACTCCAAAGCTCATCTCCTTTTCACAATACCATAATGTCTTCCAAACTGAACAAAATACTTGGACAAAATAATTGATTCCCGTCTCCCAATTTATTCTTATTCAAAGAGAGAAGAAAGAAAACACATTTAATTAAGCATCTAATAAGCATAAGGAAATATTTACATGAATATATATTAACTGCTTTCTCAGCAGTTAAAATCCTAACAGCTAAACCAAAGAAATACCAAACGGCATTATTTTTAATCTCTAAAATAATCCATATTAGTAACTTCAGAAACAACAGGATCTTTTTCATGTATTTCTAACATACCAAGGGGAAAAAAGTTAATTAAGGAATGCAGCCAGAAGTTGTAACTGTGCAATCAGGTAAGTAATCCAATAGTGAAAACACTGTAATTAAATTTCTTGTAGGTAAGACTTCAAATAATTCATTTCTCATCAATACAGTAAGAGCCAAATCTGATGCAAAGGCACACACAAACATCAACCTCTTACTTCAAAATTAAAGGAGAGGCAACATTATCTAAAATACACTGTAAGGACCCCCATGACCAACATTACCTAGATTTCAAGGGCATTAATAGATATTACACTAAAAACAAAACAAAAAGAGATGAGGCCAAATATGGAAAACACTATTGCACTATTTCTCACAGCCCAAATGTAAAAATGTGAATTGTGACCCTAGAACAGTGGTTCTCAACCTTCTGGCCCTTTAAATACAGTTCCTCATGCTGTGACCATCCATAAAATTATTTTCATTGCTACTTCATAACTGTAATGTTGCTACTGTTATGAATCGTAATGTAAATATCTGATATACAGGATAGTCTTAGGCGACCCCTGTGAAAGGGTCATTCGACCGCCAAAGGGGTCGCGACCCACAGGTTGAGAACCGCTGCCCTAGAAGGAAAGGGATAGCATTGTTTCCCAAACTTAGGTGACCAAGGAACCTTTTGTCTATCCTGTAATAGCTCCTAGAACTACAGATGCTCCTAAAGTTACAATGGGGTTATATCCCAATGAATCCATTGTAAGTTGAAAATATCATAAATCGGAAGTGCATTCAACACACCTAACCTACATCATCGCTTAGCCTAGCCCTAGCCTACCTGAAATGTGCACAGAACACTTACATTAGCCTACAGTAGGCCAATTATTTTTTTAGTATATTTTTATTCATTTCAGAGAGGAAGGGAGAGGAAGAGAGAAATAGAAACATCAATGATGAGAGAGAATCATTGATCGGCTGCCTCCTGCACACCCCCTACTGGGGATCAGCCTGCAACCCATGCATGTGCCCTGGACCGCAAACGAACCTGGGACCCTTCAGTCCACAGGCTGACGCTCTATCCACTGAGCCAAACCGGTAGGGCAGTAGGCCAATTATCTTGAGCTTCATCTTTCTCACCAGAAACCGGACACACAGATGGACACACACATGTTTTATAGACATGATGGAATGCAAAAACCCAAAACAAGGTTCCAAAAACACTGCCAACATAGTTCACTGTAGAGTATTGATGTGATCAGGTGCCTGCCTGGGAGCTGTGGCTCACTAGCCCAGAACAACTCAAAATTCAAAATTTGAAATCCGGTTTCTATTGAACAGGAATTGCTTTCACGTCATTGTAAAATCAAAAAATCATAAATTGGGAACAATCTGTACAGTCACAAAGAATTCACCTTAAGTAACACTGCTTCGGATAGTCCAGAACTAAGTAAATACTGTATTCTGAACTGGTAATTAAAGGTATGGTTAGAAACAGTACTAGGGAAATTCTCGGGATCATCAAAAGTCTTTTTTAAAAATCCTAAATTGAACGTAAATTGATGACCAGAGACACTCTTTCCTTATCCACTTCACAATATTTTAACAGTGACTATTTCTCTACTCAAAATATTAGAAATAAAGAAATTCTATTTTATTCCTCACAAGAAACTGATGTCTACTACTGATAATTCTGGCATTTTGTGCAACCTTTACATATATTATCAGCCCGATAATAAACGTTCTGTAAATTAGTAGCTACTACAATTTTTTGGCGTTTGCCCATTAACTAGAAGGGAGCTGGAGGTCTCATTTCACTTAAGCCCCATCTGTAATTTCGCAACCAAAGTTCATAACCTCTTAAGAGTGTTCACAAACTCCATCTGTCCCTAGTATTCATCCCCAAGTATAGGTTTAATTTTCACTTCCTAACAAAGCTATGTAGAAAACAGTTACTGTGTTCTCCCTTTACAACGCTTCTTCCAGAAAATTCCAGCAGAAGTTATATAGGTTATTACCATACCTGTAGGTATGCCTACTCAAGTCACGTTAAGCAATGTAAGCCTTTAAAACACTGAAATGTTTATCTCGAGTTGCTTTGTGACGTATATGTAAAATAATCCGCACTTGCCACTTCAACATGCAGGAAAAACCCTCTCCAAAACCCGGAATCCGAACCCCAAATCAAAGACAGCAAATTGGCACAAAACAGCTGCAGAAACAGATCTGGGATGCCCATGTCCAGGCATCACCGCGGAGACCGTCACTAAAACCCGGTCTCCTTACAGAAAAAGGGGTCGCCCCTCCCTCCCCCGGAGAGGCAGGCGGACCCGAACCCACGGCGCAGCGCAGTGTCCGCGTCACGGGAGGCTTCCCCAAACGCTGCGGAATGCGCTCAAGGTCATCGTGAGGAGGTGTCGGCGGGTGCGAGTGCAC